GTTTTTGTTTGGGACCGGACCCCGGGGAGCGGGGGGGGGGGGGGGGGGGGGGGGGGGAAAAAAAAAAAAGGGGGCCGGCCGTTTGCGTAAATACCGGGGGTTTTCGGTTCCCAAAAACCCCCCCCCCCCCCCCCCCCCCCCCCCGGGTCCTCTTCCATTCCTGGGCCGTAATGAAACAACTGAAAAAAGGTTGGATTCAACGCAGGGCACAGCTCGCTGAACTGGCTGCTGAACTCGCATCCTTCCACGAGGGTTTTGGCTTTCGATCTCGGCACGCACGAGTACGTCGGGGCCGCTAGGGATTTTCTCCAGGTATTGGTAGTTGCCTTGTTATGGTTTTCTACGTACGTTTGGTGGTCTTCCGCAATATGCTGACAACCGACAAACATTTTAACAACCATACCTAGCTATTTAACAACACCACCACTACTACAACAACAACAACAACAACAATAACGAGTACCACCACCGCCCGGACTCCCTCAACGTCGGCCCCAAACAACACACACACCCAGGCGGTATTTCCAGGGAGGCTAGAGCTGGTTCTCGGAGACTCGAGCGAAACCGTCCCCGCCCACACGGCAGCAGATGCGGCGGCCGGTCGAGATCCCCGAGTTTGCGACTTGGTGTTCGTCGACGGTAACCACAGCGAAGAGGGCACCTACGCCGACCTAGTCAATTTCGCGGCCAAGACTAACAGGTGATCGTAGTATTACGGAGGAACATAGTATTCAGGTCCTTGGCAGCTGGTTGAGCAATATAAGGTCAATTGTGTCGATCTATAGCTTAAACGAACCGTATGGAACAGGTGATTACGGTGAAGAAAAAAAAAAAAAAATGTCGGCGATGCCACAGAGAAACGCCTCATTTTGTCATTTTTTACCCCATGGGGTAGATTCTAGATATGGCGCGAATCCTAGCATATCTCGGCCATTTTTCCATGCATGTCAGCCCACGATGGCTTAAATGAACCGCAGTGTCAACGCCGAAAAAAAAAACTTTTTCCGAAGAGAAATCGCCACATGTGCCGAAATTTGGCCTTGGCGGCAGCGGTAAATTTGGCCCAGGTTGTTTGGTATCTTGGGCAAATGGCTGCTTATGTCCACCACCCACAGCTCAAACGAACCGCATCATTGAGATCCCCATGCGAGAAAAGAAATGCTGAAAGAAATGTTGGTGGTGTAAAAAAAATCCCATGTATTATCGACCGCAACACGTCAACCTTGGTCGTTGACGATTGAGCTGCAAGACACCACACAGAACGAATGAAAACATAAAATACAACTCTCATTCCCTTGGAATCTGCAACATGCAATGAATCAGAACACCACGTTGACTAAGGGGAGAGGACCCCTGCATGATACAGGTGCTGAAAGTAAACGCCAATACGCCAATAATCCAACGCAACAAAAACCAGTTGCAATTTTGTTGATGTCTACACCTCTGCATCACCGTCGGCATCCTCGTCACCCATACACTCCATGAATTCGGCAGACAACTCAAGCTGCTCCTGGGCCTCGACGCCATCATCGTGTACGATGTCGTTGTGCCCAGGAGCATCATCTTCGTACGACTCGGGGATCTCTTCAAGAGCGCCCATCTGACCTCTGAGAACAGGGTCACTCGCAACCCACTTGTTCATCTCCTTAACGGCGTGTGCAACGAGCTTGCTACAGTCCGCCGGTTTCCAACCCCCCTTCTGCCCTTCCCACGTGGGATCTCCGTACCACCCTTTCCGAACCTGCGCCCAAACCTCTGCCATCGTGCGTTTCGTCTTAAAGTTAAAGCTCACATACTGCTTGCCGTGCTGCCAAAACAGTTCGATCGGCTGGAAACTCGGCATGTACGGGGGGGTCCAAATCAGCTGCCAACCACGCCCGTTCATGAACGTCTCCACTTTCTCCATGAGCTTCGTGGGATGCTTGAGCTGAAAGAACGCTCGCGTTGCCAGCGCTACCTCGGGGCCGCTAACACCCTTACCGCACTTCGAATTCGCCTGGGGAAACGTGCCAGTGGCTGGTACCTGGAAGGTATACTTCTTGCTCCGTACACCTGCGCTACTGGTCACCTCTCGCTCCACGGTAATCTTCCTGCACTTGTACTTGCGCAAAAGCGCAGTGTTGTACCCCTTACTGTTGCTTTCAGGAACCCCCACCTCTGCGTCATACCCGTGGTGGTACGATGCGTTATCGAGAACAAGAATCATCTTCTTGTTGCCATACTTGGCCTTAAAGGCCGGTGCCAGGCGCCGTTCAAGCCATTCCATGAACATCTTGTCTGTCATTGCATCGTGGTAATCCCCCGTGGCACGTTTAGCCTGCCACAGCATCTCTGCGGTCTCTTCCGTACCCATCGACCCCGCCCCCTGCCTGCCCTTGCCCTTGTCCTTGGGCTTGAACCAACCTTCAGGGATTGGGAAGTTGTTTTCATCCACTGCTGCCAACGCCCCCCCCTTGGTTATTGCATGCACCATGATCATCCGCAAGCCCTTCCCAGACGTACGTCCCATCCCATCCTGCACTACTCCATCGTCATCGGTGAGAAAGTAAGAGTAAGCAGACCCGTGCAACTGATGACAAAAGCTCTCATCCATGTACACAATGACCGCCTCCTCTTTCTCTTCTTGAGTGAGAGCAGCAGACATCTCGACAAGGAAGCGACGAATGCGCGCCTTTCTATCGTCGTTGAGGGGCGGGATTTTGATCCTTCCTCGACGGCGTCTGTACCCAATCCTGTACAAAAGCCCGCCTACCGCTCGGTTAGAAAGGTCCTTGTTGCATGTCTCCTTGATCCACTCGCGCACCGTGCGTCGGAACACTTGCTGCCCGTTCTCGTGTTTGTCGCTGATGAAAGCACGAAGGTTGGCGCACTGCACGTCGTCAAGAAGCTTCCGCCCGTCCTTCCCGCTCGACACACCTCTCCCTTCCGCTGATGATGTCAACAACTCGGTCTTCTCCCACCAATGAGCGCGAACCTGTTACGATGCCGGCGGACGAGATACCATAAGAATATGACAGCAGATGTATGCAAGCACGCACACATATTCACAACGAACAGCATTGTATGGCCATGGTGATAGTGGCGGCGGAGGTGCTGGCTGCTTGGTAACCACGGCAGTAATCTTTACAGCAGTAGTTACAGCATATTTTTTATGCACTTAAAGTACACTTGTTTACAGCAGCAGTCTATGATCAGTACAAAAATACTTCAAAAGAATACAACACTGGTAACACACCAGAATTCACAGCAGCAGCATCAGTTACAGCAGAGGCTTACCTTGAACACCTTGTCCTTGCCCACGCGAAGAGTTGAGGCGGTCCGTTGAACAGCCTTGTTCGGCTCGACGCCTGACTGCACCAGCTCGAAATACGTGAGGAGTATACTGCGAGACTGCGAAGTGTCCAGAAGGGAGCCTGTCCTGGGGGCCAAGTCGTCACGCTGCTGGGCAGCTTGTTGCTCGCGCGCCTCTTGCTGGGGCGCACCGGTGTCCGCTTCGGGTCCTTGCTGCTGCTGCTTCTCCTTGGCCGCCTTCTCTGCCTCCGCCACCGCGGCCTCGCGAGCAGCGACGGTTGCTTCGCGGACAGCGAGAGCTGCCTCCTTCGCGCGCAGCATGTTGGCCAAGTTCGCCTTCTCCGTCCTGGTCTTCCCTTTGGCTGTCACGCCGGTCGCAACATAGCGACCCTTCCTTTTGGTCACCATGTGTGCACGTGCAGCCGTAGGCACGAGACCCAAGGTGCCTCTGTTCCACAGCGCCGTGCTCGACA